TTGATGAAAAATCGTTAAATTTTCCTTTGTTTTGTATAAAGTTTGAAAACACGGTTTATATGATTTTGTTTTAAACATGACCAATTTTTTTTATAAAATAATAACAAAGAAAACAAACAAAGAAATTTTAATTCGCAATATATTGTGAATATTTAAAAAAGAAATGGTGTACGCAGACTTTTGCTGTTAAGTGTAGTTTAACTAAATTTTATGGTTATATTTTGCATTCAATTTCATACGTACGTATATATGTATAAAAATTACATTAATGTTGCCAATAACGACTTTTTTGGAAATATTTTGCCCCATAAACTAAAGAATTAAATATTAAATAAACGAAAATAGTTTGCTATTAGTTTTAGGGTCAAAGAAAATCGAAAAAATACATTGATGACAGCGCAACTAGCAACATATGAGTTTCAGCCTTCCAGCTCCGCATCCATTTTTGAGTAGTTCAGGGACAGTTCTAAAATTTGTAGTGCGGAACTAGCGCTTTGCCAGACTATCTCTAAATTTTGCTGCAGGGGTGGTTCTAATACATTTTTTATTATTATTAATCAGAGTACATACATTATATGGAATTTTTTTCAAAAATTAATGCACTATATGCATATTTTTTTTTATTTCTTATGTTTCTTTCATTGGTGCCGAAAAGCAACCAAGCGTGTAAGAAATTGTGTGCTACCTAAAATTTCACCTCTGGAAACTTTATCCCCATAAAGGACTTCACCACAGTCTTTTTACTGGATATACTGAGCGTCTACATTTTAAGATACTATTTGGAACGAACTGCGAACACCACAATAGAATGTCACAAATATGAATCATACACACATACAATAGTAATTTCTATTAATTGCTACTGTACAAATTCAAGAAATGCATTTGTTTGGAGACTCCGCATGAACCAAAAATACAAGATCACCTAATCAAAGAAGCAAGGAAAAAGTATATTTCTGAGCGTTTTTGACATCTGCCTAAGAATGAAAACAAACTAAGAAAACGAAAAAGGCGCGGTGCTTGAGTGCAAAATAGTTGCATTCGATAACAAAATTAGCCAACACCAGCCAACAATCAAAATCAATAGAGTAAGCGAAAATTCTCTCCCAAAAAGATGAAAAGGCAAAAAAGTAAACGAACAGGAAATTAGCCATTACTTGCAAAAACCGGAAGAAGAAGACACACCAGCTGACTTTGTTTATGTTTTATTTGTAAACAAACTGAAATTCATGTTGCCTCCATAGAAGAAAAAAGGAAAGTGAACGTTCAATGTTCGCCAGGAACATTTCTAGATGTAAAAACTAGTTGGCGCTATCATAAAGTCACATAGCAGGCAGCCAAAAAGCATATAAGTACCAAAACTCGGAAAATGCTATTTTGTTTGTTTACAAAAATTGCAACCATATGTTTTGTGATCATATGTCTTCATGTTGGATAATTTTTGCTGACTAAAATTTTGCCAGTACAAAATGAACGCTTCTCTTGCATCAAAATGAACGCTTGCTCTCTCAATTTTTGTGTGTTGGATAATTTTTTGTCGTTATCGAACGCCATCCAGTAAAAATTTGGAAAAACTATTACAAATTTTTGACTTGTCGAACGCACCTATTATTATTACAGACTACACATGTTGGAGAGTATTACTAGTTTAATTACATTATTCGAGACAATTATTCAGACATATAACAGACATTTTGGCAGTTCGCCACACTCATAATAAATTAAAAAACGCTTACATATAAGTTGAGATCATAAACTACACTAATGACTGATAAAATAATCACTTAACTGGGCTTTAAGAGCAAATTTAGAAACTGATAAGTCTAGGTTTAAAGAATTTGCGAAGACGTTAAGTTAGAGTTCTATTAATAGGAGCATTGGCACTATATGCCGTTTTGCTGAGGCCAACTCGAAATATCTCAAAGCGACGGAGGTTTCTACTCGGAACATTGAAGTGCAACCTCTCAAGAAGGAACGGGCAGTCAATCCTGCCTGTAGCAATGTCAGAAATAAAAGATATCGCCAAGAGTGTTCTTCTATCATTTAAAGACAGTAGGCTGATTAGACGGCACCGAGACTCATATGACGGAATCGGGAGTGTGAAAATTAGCGAATTTAGAGTGAAACGGAGGAACATTTTTTGAACTCTCTCCAACCTGTTTATATGAATAGCATGAAATGGTCTCCAAATAAATGCCGCGTATTCTAATTTAGACCGCACAAAAGCAGAAAACAGCATCTTAAGTGTGTATGGATCTGAGAAATTAGAAGAGTTCCTTCGTACAAATGCAAGCATAGCAAGCGAGTTTTTTATCGTATAATTAATATGCATAGAAAAAGTAAACTTAGTGTCAAAGTACACCCCCAGATCCTTGACTTCATTAACCGACTCAAGCGTAGAGTTTGCAATGCTATACGACGTGTGCAAGGGATTGTGCAGTTTAGCTTTGTGACATTTATTAATGTTTAGATACAGTCGATTCCTAACGCACCAATTGTTAAGCTTATTAAGCTCCAATTGAAGAGTTGTAGCATCATTGGTGCAGCCAATCTCAGAGTAAAGTTTCAAGTCATCCGCATAAAGCAGAAACTTACAGGATGAAAAACACGAAGAGATATCATTAATGAACAGGTTAAAGAATAGAGGTCCTAATATGCTACCCTGAGGTACACCTGAGATAGCAACAAAAGGGTCCGAAGCAACACCATCTACGACAACCGCACTTATCCTGTTATGTAAGTACGATTTAGCCCACTTTAAAAAATTTGAATGAAAGCCAAAGCACTCCTGCTTAGTTAAAAGAATTTTGTGGGAAATTTTGTCAAAGGCTTTGGAGAAATCCGTATAAATCGTATCCACCTGCACGCCTCGACGAAAGGCTGAATAACAGTCTTCAGTGAAGACAGAAAGATTAGTTAGCGCAGATCTTGCTGCAACAAAACCATGTTGGTTAGAACTGATCATATGTTTGACGTGAAAGTAGATTTTAGGTGCAATCCCGTATTCCTCGGACTCGGACTAGTAAAACTGTTAAAAAATAAAAATTCGCTCAGAGCGAGAGAGTAACATTGAAAAGTACGTGATCGCTTTCTAGTAAAAAATGGTAACTTCTGTCAACTTCAACATAACCTCCAAATTTTGGTTGTAAATTTTTGCTTATTTTGTATGTAAACACACTATTCTCACACATGTAAATAACCAAAAATACTTTCAAATTCATTAGAATCCACTTAAACAAGTAATTAAATACTTTTCAACATGAATTAGCAGATTGAACTTTTCTTTTATTTACAATTTGGTTGCCAAACACACTACAGCTGATCGTTTGACACATTTACCAGAATTTACCAGCAAAAAATTCTCGGACTAAAACTGGTAACTTCTGACAGAGAGAGAACCGTATTTACTCTCTTTTTTGTCCTCTCAATAGTCAGAGAACCGAGTACGGGATCGATTTCCTGTAAAATCTGACTGATTCTGACTATTTCTGACTNCGAGTTATGTAGACTCAAGACCTGTGAATGCCGTTCTAGGCACACAAACACCGGACATTGACGCGACGGAGCTCCATCTGCCTCGGGAGACCAGAACAACAATAGCCCAACTTCGCTCTGGCTACTGCAGCAGGCTAAACTCCTACCTGTGTAGGCCAAATGCGGATGTGCCGAACGAATGTCCGGCATGCGGAGAGACCCCTTACGACTCGAAACATCTCTTCGCATGCCCGGAAAACCCCTCAACCCTAACGGCTACGTCCCTGTGGACCGACCCCATAAAGGCTGCACGCTTCTTGGGCTGCCATTAGTGGAACTCGACAACAACGACTGAGATATCAGCCGATCTGGGCGGGGTGTTGTAGCCGCTACAACAACAAAAACCCACTTTTCACGCAAATTTACGCCTTTTGGCAAACCAAACATACGCACAAACTTGTTCCAATCACACAGCAATTCATTTTTATTTTATTTATTTATTATAAGAAAAGGAGTGAGTGAATCACCCCTTTACTAGTGTTTGGAGCGCTAGTGTCAACCACCTTCGGCTCACTTTTAATTTTTTGTTTTTTGAAATGTTATTCGCATATATCTAAATGAGGGTTAACTCTAGATTAACCACATCAGATCAGCCAGTTTGAGGTAATTGTTTATTTTTTGGATCGATTTTACGTCGGTGTTTTTTAGTATCTCTATCGGAGTGGTATTTCCAAATATGTTGCGTCTAGCTGAGTCGAAAGCGTTGCAATCGTTTAACAGGTGTGGGATGGATAGTACGGGGTTGGGGCAATACGGGCACTGTGGCGGGGGCGAACCATTGAGTAGGTAGCTATGTGTAGCGATAGTGTGTCCAATGCGCATTCTGCTGAACCTTTTGAGGTTGTTGCAGTTTGTGCTAGTGGGGAAGTTAGGTGTGAGACCTTCGGTGTTCAGGTTGGTATAATGGTGAGTGAACTCTTTCCATCTTTCGCTTCTTCTCCTCGCTAGGTTTAGTTTAGCAAAATTGTGAAAATCTTTCTTTGGTACCAAGTTTCCCGTGTGGAGCGGTTGACTGGCTGCCTCCCTTGCTCTAACGTCCGCGGCTTCGTTGCCGTATATGCCAACATGGCTGGGAACCCACATAATTTTTATGTGATTATGCCTTTGATACAGTGCGTCGCGGATAAGTGTTATTAGTAGGTTGTTGTTGTTGTTCGAATTGGTTATAGATTCTATCGTTGACAAGCTATCGGAGACGATGACGTGCTTCTTTTTTGATTTTAGAGCAAATTGTGTTGCTAAGAGTATAGCATTAGCTTCCGCTGTATACACTGAACAGAAATCAGGTAGGTTACCCACCGCGATGGTATTACCATTTGCTTCAATGGCCGCGAAAGCAGTGATCTCCCTGATTTTTGTCCCATCGGTATATAGGAAGTTCCAATCCTGCTGTTTTAGATCCGTTTCTATTTGGGTGAAGCTTTGTCTGTACACTGCTGATGAAGTGGTGTTTTTATCATAGACCGTCAGGTTGAGTATCATAATCCTACGAAAATTGAACCATGGTGGAGGACGGTTGATGTTAGGTTTGAAAGGCGTGAAATCAATACCTAATTCGGCCGCTGTATTGATGCATCTTATTATGGTTGATTGACGGTTCGATGTTTTCATCCTTTTTGTTACTGCTTTGATAGCTTTGTGCAGGATTACGTTATTGGACTGCATGAGTTTTGGTATTAATTTAAGCGTATTATATTGGGTTCTCTCTTCCAATGACGGAAGACCTGTTTCAGTCAGAGTGCATTTCACTGGAGATGTTGGAAAAGCGCGTATACATATTCTGGCCGCAGAATGATATGGCTGTAGGATGCGGCTCAGGTTGCTCCGAGCACAGTACCCGTAAATGGCCAGCCCATAGTCCATTTTTGACAGCATTAGGGCTTTCGTTGCATTTATTAGCGTGTTAGGATGAACCAGGCAGTGTTTTGACGAAAGATATTTGATTATGTTGAGCCTAGTATCTAGGGTGGTTCTTAAATGTATACAATGTTGCTTAAACGTAAGTTTATTATCAAATAAGATACCTAGAATTCTTAAGCTATGACAATTAGGGATATTTACATTATTGTATGATAGATTTAATGGAGGACAAAGCCTTTTGTTGCAGATATGAAAAATTTTGCATTTATTGTACGACAGTTTGGCCCCTGAGGTATTTGACCATTCTGTGATTTTATATAGTATCTGCAAGAAATCGCCTTCTATCACCGTTAAATCTTTACATTTGGTAAAAACTAAGACATCGTCCGCGTATATTACATGAGAGATTCTCTTATGGTTTTGAAGAATGTTGTTAACTTCATCAAAAGCAATGATGAATAGAACCACTGACAAAGGTGAACCTTGTGGTGTTCCGTTAAAAAGTTTGTAGGTGTTTGAGAATTTGTTATTTAACCTAACAGAAAACGTGCGGTTGGATAAAAATGATTTCACAAAGTTGAAAATTTTAGGGCCAATTTGCCATTTAGTCAGTTGTTGCAGCACCACATGAGCGCCTATCCCGTCGTACGCCTTTTCAAAATCAAGGCTTAGTGTAGATACGTGATTTTTTGTCGCCAGTGCTGTCGTCGCGAAATGTTCAAAATACAGTAATGCGTCCGTTGTGCCTTGACCGTCTTTAAATGCCACCTGATGTGGGTACATGAGACCTTTAGAAGCTGCAAACCACATAATGCGCTTGGCGACAATTTTTTCCAGTGTTTTGCTTAAGCAGGGGAGAAGGGAGATGGGTCTATAGCCTAACACACTAGAGCCGCATTGCTGGGGTTTGGGGATTGGTAGGACAATTGCGCTCTTTCACGCGTGTGGAAGCTGACCTTGAACAAGAATGTTGTTGTAAAGATCTACTACTCGGTTTTTTGCCTCTCTGGGAAGATTTTTTATAATAGGGTAGGAGATGCGGTCTCTGCCAGGAGTTTTCCCTGTCATTTTTGTGAGTGTAAGGTCGAATTCGAAGTTGGTAATGGGGGATTCAATTTTCTTTGCACTTAATGATATTGGTATGTGCGAATATGTTCTACTAAAACACGCTTTTTTTTCTTCATTGAAAAGGTGGTGAAAATTGGAATCTTTGGAATAATTTGACCAGAACTGGCCCAAATGGTTTGCAATGTCTGCTGAGGAGTAGACAATACCGTCAGCTGTGTTCATAAAACGTATTGAAGTGGGTGTGTAGGTCCCTGTAAGTCTTTTGATGTTTGACCAGATTTTTTTTGGGTCAGAGTCGGGAGTTATTGACGCTGTTAGTTTCTCTAGGCTTTGCCTTTTGGCTTCTTTTAGCTTCTTTTTAAAATAGGCGTTCGATTTCTTGTATGCCAAAAGGTTATAAAGGGATCTATGTCTTTTGTAATTATGCCACAATTGCTGTTTTTTATCTCTAATTGAGGCAAGGTATGCAGACCAGTACGGGACTACCGATTTGTATGGTTTCAAGTGGGTTTGTGGAATTGACGAATGAGCAGCAGTTCGAATTGAACTGCATATATTTTTTGCTTCTTTGTTTATATTCTCCGACTGTGCACGTGCTGATATGAGTCTATTTACTAAATATTGAAATTTCGGCCAATTTGCATGATCTGTTAGAAATTTAGGTTTGGGGAAACCAGGGTTTGACGAAGCTGTAACTATTTTGGTAAGCAGTGGAAAGTGGTCACTTCCATGAAGCTGTGTTAAGGTAGAACAGGTAAGGTTGGGCCCTATACCGGTGGAGCAAATGCAGCCGTCTACATGTGTAAACGTTTGGTGGGTTGAGAAGTGTGTTGGGGCCAGGTCGTTTAAGACCATGAGGTTCTTCGACAATATGAAGTCTTCCACTATTTTGCCTCTCTGGTTTGTAGTTGTTGAGCCCCAGAGTGGACTCCATGCATTTAAATCCCCTACAATTAATATATCGGAAGAAATATTGGCCGTTAAGTTATGGAGGACGTTTGTGTTGAATGACTGTTGAGGTGGTATATATGTACATATAATTGTGATCTTAAAGCCCAACATCACTTCTATGACCAGTGCTGCTATTGGTGACTGAATAATTATCTGTTTGTGTGGAATACCTCTTTTGATCAGGATTGCGATTCCTTGCTTATTCGAAGTGTTTTGTGGGAGATTCCTGTAATGCAATAATTGTGGGTGAGTGTTCTTTTATTAGAAGTTGTAGTTCATTAAAGTTATTGAATAATCCGTTTAAATTCCACTGGAGTATGTTAAACGTCATTACGGGGTGATAATATGTTTTCAAGGCTATCTGCTGTTGGTGCTATGTCGAAGTCCGAGACGGACGGAGAAGGAGTTACGAAGTAATTGTGCCTTTGGATGAGCTGTTGTGTGAGTTGGGTGATCGGTGAAGCGTTAGGGGAGGAGTTAGTATAAGTTAGGTTAGGATTGGGAGATGTAATGTTTGGAATTATTGCTTTGGATGTTGTTGGAGTTTCTATTAAGGGATTACTGATGGTTGGTAGGTTGGAACTTGATTTGGATAATATGTTTTCAGAGTTACTGTTGATGGATGAGCTATTCTTTGAAGATGCGGTAACTGTTGTGTTTTTGCTTGTAATTGTGCCCGATGGCGGCACATTGCTATTGCCGGCTGTGACGCCCGCGAAAGACGAGGGAGGAGACGTTTTAGGTAGCTGGGAAGTGTAAATTTCTCTTGCTTGCTTTATGGTACATCTGCGTTGGGTCTTGATCTTTAGGATTTCCTTCTGTTGGAGAAACTTTGGACACCTATTCGAGTTCGAAGCATGTTCTTCGTCACAGTTGGCACACTTAATGCGTGAACACTCTGCATTTGGATGGGGTGGAAGACTGCAGTTCTGGCATATGGGGACATTTCGGCAGTGTTTAATTGTATGCCCCAAGCGGCAGATTCTGCAGCGCATGGGGTTAGGGAAGTATTCTCTTATATGACCTTATGCCAAGAAATGTTAATGGTTTCTGGTAGACGGAATAGATCGAAGGTCAGTAAAATTACACCACTTGGAACAATTTTATCGTCAACTTTTTTTGTAAATTTATAAACGTTAGTGACCCCCTCGGGAGCTAACTCCTTTGTTATTTCTTCTTCAGGAAGGAACTTTAGATAGGGTGCGAAGACGGTACCTTTGACCGAGTTTAAATTGTCGTGGAACTTACATTTTATGTCACAAATGCCTTGGAGCTGTTTAGAGGCAATGAATTTTTCAGCGGTTTTTTTGTCCTTAGCTAGGAGAAGTAAGCTACCATCTCTTAATTCGGATTTGATTTCGATGTCCTTACTTATCACTTGTAGTGATCTATGGACGGCAAAACAGGAGTATTGCGACAGCGCTTTTTGTTCATTTATAGCTGAGACTACAATAAATTTAGGGTTAGGTTGGGTAATAGAAGGGACTGCAAGTTCGGGGAAATCGTTGTTTGGACTGAGTATGCGTTTTTTTTTTATTTTGGGACTGGGTGCTAGGGAAGCAAACCTATTGTCCCCAAAATTGAAAGCCCCGGGGAGTATTTTAAATAATTAATGCTGTTTGCACTTGTGTTAAGCACGTGTTCTCTTATAACCAGCTCAGAGGAAAACAAAAAGAATAATTGCAGGGAGTTGTTGTTGAAATATAACTGAACCGATCAAGGAAACTGATAGTCAAAGCGCAGTCGAAATAGTATCGCACACGGCGAATGCTAGTCGACGACTGGCACTTCATTTTATATAACAAATATGTAATAAATCTAAATTTATAAATAAAATCGCTGCAGAAAACACATTCAATCGCTAAGAAATGACTACGAAGAGGTGGATGAAGGTGTAAACAAAACAAAACAATCGATTACAAATACAGCGATGGCTGACTAGGTGGTCTGTAGTCGTTGGTTCATGGAGACTCCGTGGTTATGGTGGTCATAAGTTCAGCCAGCATATTCAATGGTCCATTACCTGCTGCTCCAATATGATGAATAGATTTTAACGAGCATCACATACCACTGTCTCTGGCTACAAGCTGGATACATGGATATTAGAAAATAAATAGCTATTATCTATTAAAATTATAAGAAAAATGTTTTTTTACATAATCAACTGCTCTTAACCGCACATTTTCTAAGAAAAATAGAAGTTCAATACTCGGAGAATCTTCAAAGAATGTGAACCGGAGCCGCATTTTACGTAAAGTTGGTTTAAGTACTAGCGTTTTCAGCATTTATCAGTTCACTTTCATTTATGGCGCAATATAACAAATTAAACTCAGTTGACGTCTTTTGTTGAGAGCGGACGTGTTTTCGTTCGTCTCCTGCTTTTTCTTTTCTTTAATTTCGCGCCATGGTTGACTCGTGCGGAAAATGTGGAAAAGCCTTCTCGCGAAGTGATATTTTTATTGTGGCATGGCTTGAAAACTTTTCATCGTGGCTGCTGTGTTGGCCCCATCTCGGAATATGATGTGAATTTGTTCAATTCGAACCGCCATATTAGCTATAGTTGCGATCCCGTACGAGTCCGGACTAGTCAGAATCAGTCAGATTTTACTGGAAATCGATCCCGTACTCGGTCCTCTGACTATTGAGAGGACAAAAAAGAGATTAATACGGTTCTCTCTCTGTCAGAAGTTACCAGTTTTAGTCCGAGAATTTTTTGCTGGTAAATGTGTCAAACGATCAGCTGTAGTGTGTTTGGCAACGAAATTGTAAACAAAAGAAAAGTGCACTCTCCTAATTCATGTTGAAAAGTATTTAATTACTTGTTTAAGTGGATTCTAATGAATTTGAAAGTATTTTTGGTTATTTACATGTGTGAGCTGAGTGTGTTTACATACAAAATAAGCAAAAATTTACAACCAAAATTTGGAGGTTATGTTGAAGTTGACAGAAGTTACCATTTTTTACTAGAAAGCGATCCCGTACTTTTCAATGTTACTCTCCCGCTCTGAGCGACTTTTTATTTTTGGACAGTTTTACTAGTCCGAGTCCGAGGAATACGGGATTGCACCTTATATGTGTGAGGGGTGCATCAAGATACCAGGAAAGCTTTGCAAAGCCTATGACTCTGTGCTGGAGGGTCAAAAGTTTCACATTGAGACCATAATTAATAGGTGTGTACTCGTATTGAGAGGACAAAATTCTCCAGCAGCAAAAGTTCTGAGAATTTAGCAGCATTCGCTCTCAAAGAGACGAAATATCAACAAAAGTACGAGAACGCAAAATTTGCAAAAACTTGCAACCTTCGAAACAGCTGATCACTTGCACAGTTGCCACTGGTGATTAATTTGGCAATTTATTTTCTGCTTGGTGCATTTTCCTCCGATTAGGCATTTTATACATTTAAATAGTTTTGGATAAGAAAAACCTTTTTAAAATAAGATTTAATTATATCGGAATGAATAAGTTATTTTTCTCATAATTATTTGTGATATCACATGGTGACGCATTAAAAATAATAGTATCTCCTCCGAGCACCCATCATTGATCCAAAAAAATGTAATAGAGTAGGTTTAAAATTATAAAATTTTCATTTCAACAATCAACCTACCTAAACCGAAAAGTTCAGCAAAACAACATTTCAGCATGCTGCATTTAAATCTATTTTGGTATATTTAAAGGTAAATTATGGTACAAACGAAAAATGTCATACGGCAACCATAGTCAGCACACACTAAATTAAACAAACTGGAGATTAATAGCAAATTAACGAAAAATAAACTCAATGAATGTTGTGCTTATTAAATTTACGTACTTTTTAGTTGTATACTAGCATTAATAATAAAAATTTGCTATAATAACTCAAAAAGGCCATATTTTCTTTTGTTTATTTACAAACATGTGTTTGTGATCAGCTGATTTTCTTACTTGCAAGTTTTAGCTGGGAAAAATTTTTCCAGCAGAAATTTGCAGCTCTCTTTCACATTTTGCTCTCTCAATTTCCCCTACTTTGCAAGTTTTTTGGATACGAGAACGCAAAGCCAGTAAAAGTTTTCTAAAACTTTAGATAGTTGGGCG